TTTTGCTTGTGTACAGTAAATATTTGAAATGTATCATCTGTTTCCGTGTAATAATTACAGATAGAGTATCCAAAAAATAGTAAATCATGCTTTAAAAAAACATTGAAAATAAAAGTATATCGTTTCGGAATTACACAGTTTACTTAAACATTTTAATCAGAAACTATACAGCAATTTTAGAAACATAAAGAATATTCTTTTCATTAAACTATTAATTATTCAGTCTCGGAATATGTATTTAATCAGGCTCCTATTACATTTACTATATTTGCGCATATGTCTGTAAAATTATAACATTTGTATTACCTATAATTGTATTTAACTAATAATATATCAATGATATATTTACCAAGCACTCACAGTGCCATTTATAAGACACAAGAAATAAAAACTTTAAACTTCCTAAACTTAGAAAAACTTTTTGACAGAAAAGTATATTATTCTCGGGTCCACAACTTTGAAATGAAATTCAGAACACATTGAAAAACCTGCGCAGTGTTGAGAGATTTAAAGCTGCATTTAAAACATTACTGTTAAACCAATACTCATAAATCAATCAATGAATTGATTCATACTGCTATAATATAGATTTTGTTATTCGCCAATATTATTTGTTTGTATTATTTTATTTTCACAGGGGAATCTAGTTGATAGAGCAATGTTGCTCTTTTTGATTTCTCCCACTCTGTATTTAATGTGTTAAACACATGTAAAGATGTATTATTTATTGTATTATTACGAGTAGAAATAAATTACTTTACTTTCTAGGTTTGGTTATTTTATAATTAAGCAATATTACTGTTGAATTTTTATTCATAAATCCTAATTTAGTGAAGTTTGTTTCTGAAATAGTTGTGCCGAAATTGGGTAAAAAATGTGTAGCCAAATGTAATAGAGAAAAACAATGCTCGGAACAAATTGAAACGCCATTTATATCAAAATAAATACTGTCATACCTATACAAATTATGACAGACAAGACAAAAAATGGTAAATTTCGATTTCCTTATACTATCCCGAATACATGACATCTTTAAATCAAAAAAGTAAATCATCCTTAGTATAGCATCATACTATCATGGAAGAGAAATGTATATTAAGGGACAGATTTATGTCCGGCGTCGTCGTCGTCGTCGTTAATAATTGTTATTGTGTGCACAAACTATCAAACTTGGTCACCTTTTCATCAATATAAAGTCTTCCCTGAGTATGAACGACAGATGTCCTGTATGAAATTATCAAGCAAATATTGAGAAAATTCGATATGGAAATATGTATGGTTGCACAGTCTGATACACATTTGCAAACCTAAAATCTTTACAGAAAACAAGATGTCAGAAAATCAATATAAGCACTACTATGAATTGGGTGCCAAACTTTGATCAAGATCTGAAACTAATAGAAAATCTGTTTAGTCAAAAGTTATCAAATCAAAAACAATACATAAAAAATACATACGGTAATAAAGAAAAATGTTGCATCCACATTTTGAAATGAAAATTGTACACAAAAAATTGGTATTCTGTATTTGACAAACAGTTCACTCGACAAATGAAAATTCACAGGAATTTGTTTCAGCTATTAGAACAAAATGCTAGAGCTTTTATAATAACAATTTAAAAACGCACTTTAAAAACAAAGATTGCAGTGTTTAAAGATGTACATCCTCAGGAGGCAAAAGTACTGTTGACTTCTCTCTCCACTGGGCACCAACTAACTATTTAAGTTGATTTGCATTACAAAGCAGAGCTTGCAACATTAGGTTTTTTTTACTTTTCAAATAAAACAGTTCATATTTGTCTCAGTGAATCATTAATTGTTGATACCTGTACAAAATACTTGGGCAAAAGCCAGCTAAGATTTTCTGTTATCTTGCATGAATTTATGAATCTATTCACGTCCAAATGCAGTACTTCTTTTCTGAGATGCGGCATTTGTTTTTATAATAAAATATCTTAATTACTTTGAATAAAGCTGGAAATTATGTCCCTTAAAATAATTAAACAAATTAGGCACCAATGTTTTTGTAAGATATTTACATCTATCAAGGACATTCGATAAACTGCTTTCCCACTGTTGTTTCAACCTCAAAACGTGTTTGTATTCAAAATTAATTATGACAATGCATAGTCATATTGAAACAAACTATGATAAAGGGAATAAAATTATAAAACAAAGGGCAAGGTCACCAGAGATTTATATGTGTCTAGATACCGACTTGATAACTGATTTCTAGTGAAGAACTGGTTGATATCTTTTAACACTTGTCCATAACATGTCATCATTTGATACAAGACTCATATTATGCACTGCTGTACGCATTATACCCTGACAGTGTCTACACTGACGTAAACCTTATTTTGGCAAGATAGCCATATGTTTATTTTTAGTATTTTTGCTTTGCCCGTAGTGTAGTGTAAACAAAGGGGAAGGTATAGTAATGGGAAGATTTTGGCGTCGTTATTGTTGTAATTGTTGTTGTTGGCGTGACTTGTGGTTGTGATAACTCAAGTAATTTTACCCGATCGGTTTGAAATTTATATATGTTATAAACAAACATGCAAAGATGGCCAAGTTCGATGTTGGTGTATTTTGCTTGCATGATTAATGAGAGATGGCTACCAATTGGTTTTCGCTTGTGTGCGCGACAACTCAAGTAATTTTTACAAGATCGATTAAAAAATTATATATGGTATTGTCACAGGTCTCACTGGCGGTGGGGGCCGGAACAGTGAATTGCGTATTTTGAGTGCAGTGTTTACGCAATTTACGGAAAAACACACATTAAACATTAAAAGATAGTATTCTACTGTAAGCAGTTGTACTCGATACTGGTCCTCATTGTTCAGTGAGTTACAAACTATGTGCAATAAATTGCACTGTACATGCATGTACTGTACATGTACAATAAGATATACCTAGAGTTCACATAAAATGATTATACTATAAGTTGCTATAAAGCATATTCAGTATTCTTCAGTGCAATAAGTTTCTAAAGTTATTACTGTACAATGGGTTATATCCTATTAAGTCACATAAGATAATTATACTATAAGTTGGCATATGTAGTAGTTGTTAACTGAGCAGTATTTGCTAATATCCAGACTATTGAGTTAACTTTGCACAATTACATAAGTGTCATTCCAATATTATCATTATTAAGAATACCCCGACTTAAGAAAAAGAGTTTTAAAACGCTAAAAAAATAGTAAATACATGCAAGAAAAATAAGCATGCAAGTAACAGCCTCAACAGTATAGTAAACAACAAAACCTTAAAGTAAAAAGTGAAGTATTTCCCCAGTCAGGTGATCATGTATAATTAGATGTTGATAGCCATGAAGTTGATAATCTTATGAATCAATTAATGACCAAACTTAACAGAATAACAAATCAAAGTGAAATGTCTTCAAAAGTAATGCAATTACTAAATCGGTTTCACCTGTATCAACAGAATAATGTGAGTACTGATTAGATAGATGTACTCCCTCTTGCTGGTTTCCAAAACCTTGGACTTACATGTTATCAAAATGTTATTATACAAGTATTAATACATATTCCAGCATTTGCAAGCTACATACTTACTAAATCAAAAAACCATCAATGCAGAAATAATAAAACACCATCTTGTTTGTTATGTGAATGGGAATCATTTATAATCCAGATGTATTTTGGTGACAACAGTTTTAATAGTGCATCATGGTTACATAAATACATTAAAAGTACAGAATTATTTAATCCTCTTGTAGGAAATGGTGCCCATGAGTTGTTTGTGATTATATTTGACATGTTAGAAAAATATGAAGTGAACAGTAATAATATGCCAGTACATACTTTACAGAGTACATTTATGGGTATCTATAATAACACATATAAATCAAAACACTGCATATCAGAGTGTTAGACTTGAACCATTCACGGTTTTACAACTTCCTATCACATATTCTAGTAATAATGAACCAGTTTCTATTTCAAATTGCCTAAATGATTATTTTAGTGAAGAAACAATGCATGAATACTGTGTAGTCATTGCAACAAAGTTTATGACATTGTAAAAAATGTGACCAATCAAGTATCACCACCATACCTTGTTATACAGTTGAAACGTGACACCTGCCAGGTATTCAATAAATTTAAACATGTCTGAGTATGTAAGCAACAGTTACTATGGTAATACTTCATACAAGTTATATGGTGTAATAGTACATCAGTCTAATAACATTACTATGCCTGTATTAAAGCATCTGATAACTGGTATAAATTCAATGATGATAGCGTAACACTTATTGATATCGACAAAGTTTTAAAAGAACAGGCCTACATGTTATTTTATCAGTTGATAGAAATAAATAGTAATTTTTATGAATCCACTAATTACAGTCAAGAACCATGTCACATACTTAGTTGGCAAGATTTATCTACTGATGTGAAAGATCAGGTTCAAAATAAGGCTGATGTTAGTTCATCTCTTCAATATGATACGTTAAAGGGCGGCAGTCGTCGCGCCGCGTCCTGTTCGATATGGAACTCATAGCGACGTATACAACGCGTGTAAAATATATTGTTTATTTACATGAAACGACCACCGCGCTTTAAGTAAAGAATTACACAGGTAAATTGAGCTTGATAAAATAAAAAAGGGGCATGAGAAAGCTGATGTTATTGATCGTAAGAGGGAATATACAAAACAATATATGAAACAGAAACGTCAAAACCAATGTTATCGTCAATCAGAGTCAAGAAAAAAATATATCTCACAACTGGAGAAGGAAAGGTATTTAAGGAGATTTAGTAGGGAAAATATAGAACAATTGGAAAGGAAGAAAATGCAATGAGATTAAAGAGGAAAAATATAGAACAATCAGAGGAGAAGAATGCAATGAGATTAAAGAGGAAAACTGTAGAACAATCAAAGGAGAAGAATGCAATGAGATTAAAAAGGACAAATATAGAACAATTAGAGAAGGAGAAGAATGCAATAAGATTGAAGAGGAAAAATATAGAACAATTAGAGAAACAGAAGAATGCAATGAGATTAAAGAGGAAAACTGTAGAACAGTCAGAGGAGAAGAATGCAATGAGATTAAAAAGGACAAATATAGAACAATTAGAGAAGGAGAAGAATGCAATAAGATTGAAGAGGAAAAATATAGAACAATTAGAGAAACAGAAGAATGCAATGAGATTAAAAAGGACAAATATAGAAAAATTAGAGAAGGAGAAGAATGCAATAAGATTGAAGAGGAAAAATATAGAACAATTAGAGAAACAGAAGAATGCAATGAGATTGAAGAGGAAAAATATAGAACAATTAGAGAAACAGAAGAATGCAATGAGATTAAAAAGGACAAATATAGAACAATTAGAGGAGAAGAATGCAATAAGATTGAAGAGGAAAAATATAGAACAATTAGAGAAACAGAAGAATGCAATGAGATTAAAGAGGAATAACATACAACAACTTGAGAAAGAACGTAATGCAAAGAGATTAAAAAGAAAAAATATACAACAACTTGCGAAAAAGTTTAATGCTAAGAGATTGAAATGTAAAAATGCAGTTGGAAACGATCGATTTAGTGAACTCAATAATGAATTTCAGAGAGATGTATCTGAAGGACCAGAATATGTATGTAATTGGTGTTATCAAACATGGTATAGACATTCTGTTATTGAATGTAATCATGATAAATATAATGAGGAACTTGCTAAATTATGTATAACTGATTTTAAATCAGTAAATGATAGACAATGAATATGTAATACTTGTTCTAATTCCCTGAAAAGCGGGGCTATCCCATCATGTTCATGTGCTAATAAAAGGAAATTTCCTGACAAAAGTCCTAAATTAAGTTTATACCCATGTGAAGAAAGATTGATTTCTCCCAGAATCCCATTTATGTAAATAAGAGAGCTACCACGTGTTGGTCAATTAAGTATCCATGGTAATATTGTCAATGTAGTTGCTAATGTAAACATCACAATTGTGAATTTACCACAAAAATTAAGTGAATCAGAAAAAGTACCCATTAAACTGAAAAGGAAATTATCTTACAGCAGTCATGTTCAGTTTGAAAATATTCGTCCTTATAAAGTGTTAGAGGCTCTGCATTGTTTTGTGAGAAAGACTGAACTGTTCAAATCACAGGGTGTAACTGTCTCTGATACCTGGTTACATAACACATAAGTGGTGATTGGGGCAGTTTTGTGAATGATGTCACTAACAATGAGAATACGGTGGAATCAAACAACGTTAAATCCCACCAACAGTACCAGTAATACCTTTTAACTTGATGAAGACACTTCCAAAGGTTTTCTCTTCCAAGGCCCCCATTCCCTTCATAATGATCAACCACTATTCTAGAGAAACTACACAAATCTATGGAAGCAGAACATCACACAATCAACACCCCTCCCCAAATGTATAGCTTAGAGTGATATTTGGTAGTAACAAATGAAAAGTATGTTAGAAAATTTCACTATTTCAAGAATTTAGCCAATTCTTGGTCTCAACATAACCAGTTCCATCAACTATTACCTTGCGGGCAAGGATTCAATAGTTTTGCTATGTTTAGTAATCGTGGTCTTCATCGCTATTTCGTTACCCAGTGTATTTTGAATTAAATAGATTTGTTTATTTGATTGCGTATTTGTTGTCGGTTTTGTTTGTCTTTTTCACAGTTGTTCTTGTGTATACTTATTTAACAAATGTACATCAATCCAGGAAGGAGTATTTATATATTATACTTTACCTGTGGTATATATTTGTTTATTTCATCCATGACCAAGTTCATCCAAATGAGATTATTATCTACATTCATTTTAGCCCGTTGTTGATTGGTATAAAGGTTACAGAAGGCTTGTTTCAAATGTTAAAAAAAGATTTGTTTCAAATATTTGAGAATGCCTATTTCAAATGTTTAAGAAGGCTTGTTTAAAATGTTAAAAAAAGGTTCGTTTCAAATGTTTACGAATGCCTTTTTCAAATATTTAAGAAGGCTTGTTTCAAATGTTAAAATATATTTGACCAAAGCCACTATCTCAGTAAAGTCTACTTGACTTTGTATTCAATATAATAAAGATCGTACACAAGGTTGACCACAGGCAATGCCCGGAAGTGTAATTTTTACTGACAACGCATGCGTAATGGAACATACCATTACATAGAGAGGAGCCGTAGCTCTTGCAATACAAGGGACAATATATACGAGCTACTAATGTTACATCTTTCCTTTTTTGAAGTGTTTGGTCTTAATAGACAAAACAAAGTGTTCAGTAAAGAGTTCTTATAGTATTCATCAATAAATGCGAATACACACAATATTTCACACGCAATAGTTTCAGTAGGGTATATATATTGAATTGAATTTGTTCACTTAATTTACAGGCAATATTGATAGAAGAATACAATACAAACAACACTGAAATACACAGTGAATAGGAAGCTGGAAAATAGTGTAAAATACTAGTCGAGTCCACCCCTTTTCTAGGTGAAATACAAACTACAATAATAATAAATGTACAGACAACTCAATTATGCATAATGTAAAAATGTTTTCATTTCTTTTTTGAATGAATTTCCCGAGCTCATGGAACGAAGTTCTTCTGGAAGTTTATTCCAGACTTTAGCCCCAGCATTGATTGAATGAATTAGTATGGTATTTTGGAATAATAAGATTACCTAATGCTTTTGATTTTGTGTTATAAGAGTGTTGGATGGAAGAGAAATATTGAGGAAACCCTGGTGGTAACTTGCCATTGAGACTATCATGAACAAACAAAGACATTTGTAAATCATGTTGTTTATAGATATCTAGTACATGGAGCTGATTGAAAAGTGAAGAAGTGTGTGAGAGGCGATCTGATCCTGTTATTATGCGTACAATTCTTTTCTGTGTGAGATGTATGGGTTTCAGGTAAGTTGAGTACGTGTTCCCCCAAACTTCTTGTGCATAGGAAATATGCGGTAGGATGAAACAGTTATATAATAGTAAAAGAATAGATGGTGAAATAATGTCCCTTGTTCAACTTGAAAAGAATACCTACTTTACTACTTATTGTTTTGTTTACTTTCTGTATATGGTTCTTCCAGTGAAAATTATTGTGGAATTCAAAACCAATGTACCTAGTTGTTTCAAATTTATCTATTGTTACCTCTTTTAGATTAATTGTACCCGTTAAATGTATTGATGCCTGTTTACCTCTAAATATAATGTATTCAGTTTTTTTGGAATTTATTGTATCGCACCAGTCTATAACATTGTTTAAATGAGAATTTACATTTGAAAGATCTAATGTGTTTTTTGAGTTGAAGGTATGAAATAAGCTGGTGTCGTCTGCAAATAAACGGATGTCGAAATATTCTGTGGCACTTGCAATATCATTTACGTAAATCAGAAATAGTGTCGAACCTAACACAGAGCCCTGTGGAACTCCGCAAGTAATTGGTAGTTCATTTGACTGCATCCCATTAATATTGACATGTTGATTACTGTTTGTTAAGTAATTTCTGAAGAGATTTTTAGGGATCCCCCGAAAACCGTAATTGTCTAGTTTGCTAATTAGAATATCTTGATTCACAGTGTCAAATGCTTTTTTAAAGTCCAAAAATATACCCATCACGTCATTACCATGTCAATTTCCTCCAGAATTGTCTGTGCTATGTCCGCAATTGCTACCTTAGTACTGTATCTCTCCCGGAACCCATACTGATGATTGTACAATAGATCAAAGCTGGTAAGATATGAGATCATTTGTTTGTTAATTATTTTCTCAAATATTTTGCTAATCTGTGGTAATACTGATACTGGTCTGTAATTGCCTGGGTCACTAGGTACTCCTTTTTTGAAAATTTGAGTCACTTTAGCTATTTTTAAAGAATTTGGGAATACATCTGTTGCAAACTATAAATTAATTATATGCTTGAGAGGTCGGGAAATGTACTCTGCGGCATAAATTAACAGTTTTGGACTAATGTAATCATAACCCACAGCCTTATTTTTATCAAGTGCTTTTAGTAGTTGAAATATTTCTTGTTCAGAGGTTGCGTGAAAAAAGAAAGATTGTGGCAAGGATTTTGGTAGATAGGAATGATAGGATTTAGTGCAATGATTTAAGATATTAGCAAGTGCTTCCCCAACTGAGACAAACAAAAATGGTTAAAGCCATTAACAATGTCATGTTGGTTAACTAGATCGGTCTCTAAATCATTGTGTGTAGAAGACATATGTAATGTACTTGGCAAATTTACATTATTCCTGCCACCAAGAACATCTTTAATAACTTTCCAAGTCTTATTATTATCTCCTTGACAACATGTGAACTGATCAGCATAAAAATTCTGCTTAGCTCGTTTCAAAATATTTGTAAGCATGTTCCGATAGTGTTTATAGTTTGCCAGGATATCTGGATGGTAGTTACTTTTTAACTTCGCATTGACTCCGAGGCCATGGCGTTCTGACGTATTCCTTTTTCATTCCACAGACACCGTCCATAAAGTAAAGATACCTCGGCTAATAGTCATGTATTGTTTTGACTGCACAATTCAGAACTACATTCTCTAAATTTACAAAATGCGTCTAAGCACGAATTCGTAGGTTACTGCGAAAAGTATATCGACGAGGGCGCATTTTAAAAAGCAAAATGCATCATGTATTATTTTCTCAATCCACTGTTCAAAGGTTTGGTGTGTTTATGGCGTTTCATTTGAAAATGTAGGGGTGCACATTGCCAGGTTTAAATGGAGCCGGGGAAAACTTTATCGGAAAAGTTTCTACGCATTTAATTGGTGACTTTTTAGTACGGAAAACTCAGAAATATGGGTCAAAGATCCCAATTAACAGTTGTCATGGTAATATTTGCACCTCATATTGATATAGGTACAGAGCATAAGTTGGTCTTGCACATTCTTTGTCGAACAAAGGGCGGCAGGATTAAATTTAGCGATGAAATGGTCTTATAATGGGGAGATTGTTGAGGTTGTGTATGTGACATAGGCACACGTGTTATATTTGTAATGTAGGCATGTAGTTTGAAGCTTCCAATGTCGAGTTACATGTGTATTTAAATAAACGCATCAAGTACGGTATTTTGCAAGTAATCATTATTATCAAAATATTTTTTTCTGCGATGCAGGCATTATGTGCAAAGTTCCACGTCTTGGAGTGTAATGTTGGACCACGTGCAGAAACCAGAACCTCGCGTTATATATATACTTTTTAAACGTCTTCGAAACAATTCGGCAACCATCGTAATACACACTTGCTCACACTCTTGGCAACTCTGTGTAAATAACACCCTCTAGCATATCCAACATAGATTTACATACAGGGTGAAAAAAGCATGACAATTTAACTTAAGAAGAAATTACAATACTCAATATGTTCCTAGTTTTGATAACAAGCAAGGAGGATTGTGATCCATACATAACACAGGTAGAATTAAAACAGCTTTACACAAACTCTACAAATACAACAATACCTTTCAACTTTACTATTACACTGTGTTTAGTTTTTGTCATCGTTTTCACACGTTTACATCTTGAATTATATAGCGTTCCTCACTTCCTCTGTGAAGAGGTCTATATTGTATTAAATTCAAAATAATTCATAGGAAGAGAATAGGGGTGCCAAACTGTAATTCGTGAGAGCTAAACATATATAGATCACACTTGTTGTGGGTTCTTTTCACGGGCCATAAAAGCATTGGAAATCACTAAGATGATTATCGTTAAGGACGACAATGCTCGGATTGGGC